GGGCCATATAATAACACTAACAAAACATTGCGAGAAACATGTTAAACACCAAAAAATGGTAAAGATGTGAGAAAGAAGTGAGAGAATAATCTTCGAGCTTCCAGTTAATCTTCCATGAATAAACCGACAGATACGCAACTGAGAAAGTACTTATTTGTAATCTAAATATTTACTGAAAATATCGGTATAAAACATAATTCTTCAGGTTTTTTCCATTCATATGCGTGAAAGACAGTCCAATTTGGTACCACCGAGTTAACAGTTTTTACTCAAAGTGTAATCAGAGTTATAAAACCGAACTTCTTTTCTTTCAAATCATAATTGTTAAAACCTTTGAGCATTAAAAAAACCGCTAAAAACTTGTTTATCAAATTCGAGCTTATAGTCAACTACTGTTACGAATAAAAACAAGTAAATAAGTTAAAGATAAAATTTGATAACACTTATAAATTTAAGTTTAATCAAGTTTACAGATGATAAACTTGATGTCACTGTGACTGAGATATCAAAATGTCAGCCATACTGATATATAAGCACATCAGCAATACGGTAGTATATATAACAAAAATATGGCACTTCTAGTCTAGCAGTAAGCAAGATATTGTTTGAACAAATTCCATAATACAATATGAACAAATCAGTAAAGCAAAGAAGTGGAAAAAAGGTGAATGATTAATTAATCAGTAAAAAAAGCAAGAGAAAAAATACAGTTAGAGGCCAAATGACCGCTATTTGGAGATGGGCTGGTAGTACTGAGTCCACGATGCAACTCTATGCTGTTGCTGTTGTTGCTGGTGCTGCTGCTGTTGCCATTGCTGTTGCTGGCGCTGTTGTTACCATTGCTGTTACTGCTATTGCTGTGGTCATGCCTTCAATAACTCCGCCTATCAACCCCCCATCATCCCCGTTTTTGCCCCCATACAAAATGCCTGTTGTGCCGATGATCATCGAGCCGACAGAGCTTTCCCTTTCCTTAATTTTCCTTTAAAAAACATCTGCGCCTATTGCTGAAAAAAAAACATTTAGACATAAATACACTACAAAAATTCTTCTATTTTACAACTTTCCTTCTCGGATATTTATTTGGATATACTGATATGTTACCTAAAAATGCTACATTTTTAGACGCTTTATACATGATTGATGCAGCCATTAAATGTTGTAAATTTTGCTTAAATAAGTGGTTAAGAAGAATATTCCAAAAAAAGAGAAGATTCTAGACAACAAGGAAGTCAGTTTTCTTACTGTCATAAATCTGCATATCAAGAAGACAAATTACCAATGTCCCTCTGTGTTGTTAGTAGCCAAGCAACTAACTATCGCTTACCATTATGCAAAAGCCATACCTAAATATGTCAGTTAAAAGTTATCACCGAACAAATTAAAAAGAATGATAGGTGGCAAATTGAAACTATTAATTTGAGAAGGTAACCGAGTAAAGCAGAACAGAAAAATTAGGTCCATATATTATCTATAGTATCAACAAATGTGAATAATAAATTAACGAAAATTGAAATACAAAGAAGAGGGAACAGGTAACAGTATGTAAGTTTAGTCATTCAAACATTTCTATCATTTTGTAGACCAATGACTGGTTGATTAAACACTTAAATAAATTTGAAACCGCACAGTAATATCGACCATAACTGTTAATTTGATAAATCAGAATAAAAAAAAAAGGTGAAACAGTTCAGCTTAAATGCTTCATTTTTAAGTGCAGAATCCTGGACAGATCATAGAAACTTTTCTTGAAAAAAATTTTCATCAAAATACATATATTTTAGTTTTGCTAAGGCTACGGTAGTAGATGAGTTCTGTAGGAAAGATGGCACCATAGTAAGAAGAAATGGGAGAGGAAAACAGCACCCGGGTTCATCAACAGGAAATCAAAAAAAAAATTTCTTTTTTCTTGGATAAAAAGGATAGCAAACAACGACAAAATGTTGAACGAAAAAATAACTTAATAGTGGCCGAAAAAAAAAAGAGAAGAACTATTATCCAGAGAAGATAAAAAAAAGATGTGGCAGTACAGCTGACCAACGCGGTTACGCAATCACCTCGGAACGCCTAACCCACTGCCTCTCCGCCGTTGACTGCACATTATGCAACGGTGTTTTTCACCTCCGACAACGGTACTGTTACCTCTTCTCCACTCCTCCTCCTATCAGCAGAACTGCAGCGTCACCGGCATTAACATCGGCACCAGCAGAACGTGCAGCAAAAGCAGCAGGAGCAGCAGTACCCAATAATAATAACAACAGTAACGACAACAACAACAACAGCAACAACGACATCAACAAGAGTCCCCAACAACTCCCCACCTTTTTCCTTTTTATATGACCATATAATCTATAGACAAAAAAAAAAAGAAAAAAAGAGATGAATGAAAAGTTGGATATCAAAATTTGGAAACCAAATTTGGACAGGAAGTTCTCTTCTTGCTTCTGATACTATATCAACTTTATACAATAAACACTGAACAGTAGACAGAAACTAAAAACTTCAACATATCAAGACGCCAAAAACAAAATTGTTGCTTTTTTTTTAACTCCACAACAGAAATATTATACCGCCGCTACCGATCAGAGGTCTCTCAGCGTTTCTGCACTCCGGTTGACCAAACAACGTTCTGCGTGTGTGAGTGTGTGTGTGTGTGTGTGTGTGTGTGTGTGTGTGTGTGAGTGAAAACTGTTAATCGGCGGTTCAACTAAACCTACTACACATATTGCAAACGGTTAAACCCTCTGAACCTGTTATTGTACACTGTTTGAAGTGTAAATTTACTTTGACATCATTTACTTAGTTTTTTTTCCAGCTCGTTATTTCCAATACGCAAAAATTAGATCTTTAATCTAACAATCTTGATAAATCAACAGCAATAAAATAGCACTACCTTACTGACACT